ACCAGGGACTCTAGCATTGAACTCCAATCACTTGGCCACTACACCACGGCCACTTCTAATCACTTATTGTAACGAAAGCCATTACGAATACGAGAATCTAGGTCTCGTAATTGTAAGAACATTTCCCAAATATTGTCTTGCTCGGTAGAACTTTTACCAAACGAAATTCGACTGACTACAACAGTTCCTACAGATTTAATCATTTATTGATCTCATAGGCCTATCTATCAATGAAGTGAAAAATTGGAATATTTTAAAGAAAATGTCAAGAGGGGTTCACCAGTTAATTAATAATAAAAAAAGTAAGCCATAGATAAGTTAGGCCTACACACAATGTTATCGTAGGCTAACTTAAGTACTTTAATATTTTTTTTTAATGGTCCTTTACTTATGCTAAAACAAATGGTTGGCAACCATATGACACAAAAACAACATTGATTGTGAAAGGCCTACAATAAACAACACTCTACAAACCAAACAAATTAAAACTATTTTTTTTACTCATGCGTTAATTTAGTTAAAGTTTTTTCGTTTTCTCTGTCAATGGTTACTATCTTTTATAGGCTTGGATTTTATGAGAATAAAGTGTGGATAACATAAAATGTTAGTTTGTCTCTTAAAACACAAATTTTACCAATTTCATATTCCATATCTGGTCAGATCTGGATGCCAGATACGATCAGATCTGTGATGCCAGATCTGAACTAATTCCATATCTGGTTAGATATGGGTGCCAGATCTGGAATATGTCCAGATATGTCATCCCAAATCTGGCCAGATATAGAATCCAGATCTGGGACCAGTCCACTTTCCCATAAGGGTTACTAACACCATTTCATGGCATCAAACTATTGAATATTATTCATAAGAATTCCGAATTAACCACAGTACTCAAATTGCCATTCGCGATAGACCTAGGGTACTCTTGCATTACTTGCTCTAGCTTTTATAATTAACATTATTTCTTCAATTTATGATAGGGCCAGGGGCCATCACATAAGGTTTAAAATCTTGTAAATGTTATGTTTTTTTTTAAACTTTTATGGTTGATATAGGGGATAGAGTCTTACTGTTATTCAGTGCTCGATTTGGGGGGAATGCAGTGGAACGGAGTTCCGGTACCTCTCTTTCAGAAAGATAAAAATATTTGCATAAATAGTTACCTACATAAATAGATATTTCATTACATTTCATTTGACTTCAGTTAAAAAAGGTAGCCTTAAAAAAAACTTGAAATGAATGATGAACGGTTTGCTGAATATAATAAAGAATGGTATAAATATTAATAATTCTCTCAATGCACCGTAACAACGTGGTTACAACGAGGTTTTTACCGAAAAGTTTGCCGAAATCTTTAAAATTTGAATTCAGGGGATTTGGTGGGTAATCAAGACTTGATTCCGGCTAATTCCGGGGATTACCACCGGATTTTGCGGGTAAAATGAGCAAATTGTGTTGGCAACGCTGGTCATCACTGCCACTATCGCCGCACGAACTTGCGGCGGGCCGCAGAGGCAGGGTTAAGGAGCACCTACATGGAATTGTCTTCGTTCATTCTCATACGCGACTTCGGAGCGTACTCCTAGTTATAACACTACATCAAATGGATGTGGATAAAAAAGGAATTTTTGCTTGGATAATCAGTGACTTCAAGAGGTAGGGGATTGGTTTAGTTTAACCAATGATTTTTGAATGAAAAATTAAGATTTGCCTGGTCTTGACGTTCACCCTGTCTGACGTCATATGAATCTTACATTTGAGGAATAGCATATAGAATCTTGTCTTGGCATCCATGTTACGCGGAGCTGAGCTTTCTCAATTAGTAAACATGAATGATGAATTTCCATTTGTTAAACAATCACCTCAGAGCTACTAATCAACGTTTACGAAAGACTCGCCGTGACTTGGTGTGGGCTTGGTGATGTAAACGGGGGCTCCCATTGAACATTTGTTAAGTTTGATGCGAAACCTTTTTTAGTTACGCTTTTAGCTTATACTCTATTTATGCACAAATATGTTAAAGTTTACAAATTTCGTTATTTATTTTAAAACACGTATTATATAGCTTACAGTTAGCTGGTTCTAAAAGTAAGGATTTGCGATTCGAGCCTCTGTATTTTACCTTGAGAAAGATGAGGCTAAAAGTAGGATAAAATAACTTTTAAAAGTTACTTTGAAACATTCTGTGAATGATATTTTTCTTAGCTTATTTATTCAGGTAATCCTACAACAAGAAAAACATAAAAGAGCGTTTGGAAAAAGTATGGACTCCCCTTATTATCTTTTTATTGGTTTTCACTAGGAAAACAAAACTTTGCACACCTCTAACTGCCATACAATTACACTTTTTCGATGGTATTCTAATATTGTCCAGGACCCCAAAGGGTATTTTGAGGGCAGATTAACGATTTTCAATATAAAACCCATGAAGTAGCATCTCATTTTAAAGGCTAGCAGTTAAAAAGAATATTGATGGAAACTAGAGTTCACTTCCCTAGCCAAACCCAGTACTGAATGGCGGAAGTTTTTGGTTTGCATGCTTCACATTTAATATTCTTGAGCCACCTCCAAAATAACCCATTCAGGGTTCCCAGGAAAAATTGTGATACCAGATAAAAATAACACATTTTCTTTATTATGAAGGTGATATTTTCCTGGTACAGCTGGATTAAATCTTAATATGGGATATTGATATCATTTTGAAGTGGGGTATCACAGGTTAATGAAAAGTAAAAACTGTCACCATTTTGTATTGGGTTCAGATAGGGACCTCTAGTTTATACAAATATTCTTTTTAACATCACTAGATGGGGCTTGGTAATTCAACATTTTGAATGAACTGCTACCAAAGGATTCTATTTTTGGGTCCCATGAAAAATTGTCATACCGACAAAAAAGTACTTTTTAGTTTCTTGTTACGGTAATACTACGTTTGGTGTCCTGGTACAATCCATTATAAAGTTAACAGAATATACTGATGTATATTTTATTAGTGGGGTCTCTTAGACCGATAAAAATAAAAATGGCCACCATTTTGTAATGGGTTGAGATAGACCTTCAGTTTTCGCCAAAATTCCTTTTCACTGGTGGCCTTCAATAGTAGTGTCACTTAATGGCGTTTTACATTTGAAATTGTTGACCTCCAGACCAAGAAAAAGTGTATGCATCACTTATTTATAGTTAAAGTAATTTATTACTGCGTTATATATACAAGGAGTACAATGCAGTTTGTCTGCTTGCAATATTGAGCGGAGCTAGCATATAAATCCAATACTTTTCTAAAATCAATGCTACATCTGTTCCTCGTAAATGGGATTAAATACTTGCAGTATCCAATGGCAATGGCATATTTGGTTCACATAAATGGAATGTCTATTTGCAGTATTCATAGTCAATTATAAGTCTGGTTCACGAAAATTAACTGTCTACTTGCAGAACCCAAATTCTATGTTTCATCTGATTCTCATATATTAAATATCTATATGTGTTACATTTGGTTCGAATGAATAAAATGCCTATTTGCAGTATACAAAGTCAATGTTACGACTGGTTCACTTAATCGGAACGTCTATTTACAGGCTGAGGTTCTAAAGTGAATGGTACGTCTAGTTCAGGTAAACGAATAGTTTACTTGCAGTATCCAAACTTAATAATACATTTGGTTCACGTATATGAATTGTCTACTTGAATTATCCTAAATAAATGGTTCATCTGCTTCACATAAATGAGATGCCTATTTGCAATATCCAAAGTCAATGGTGGGCTTACTTCTGGCTCAATTACATGGAATGTCTGTATGCAGTATTCAAGACAATGAAACGTCGGGTTCACGTAGATGAATAGATGAAGATATACTTGCATTATCCAAACTCAATGGTACATTTGGTTCACGTAAATGAATTGACTCTCCTTGCAGGATCCAAAGCAATAATTCATTTGATTCACATAAATGGAGTGCCTATATGCAGTATCCAAAGCCAATGGTATGTCTGGTTCACGTCAATGGAATGTCTATTTGAAATATCCAAATTCAGTGGTATCTTTGGTTAACATTATTGGAATTCCTAATTGAATTCCTAATCCATTAAAAGTCTGCATTATTGAATGGTAAGTCAAGTTCACATAAATGGAAAGTCTACGTGCAGTATCCAAACTCAATTGTAAGCCTAGAGTTGGTTCACATAAATAGAATGGCTATCTGGATTATTTAAAGTCAATGGTGCCTCAGTCTTATTCAGGCGAACATAATTATTGGTTAGTAATTTTGTAGTAAATAATGCTCAATGATATTAATCTGATTGTTCTTCCCTTTTCTCTGTACAATATTTGTTATGTGCTAGTTTGATGATTCGTTGACTAACATATGTTGCGACTCTTGTTTACCTGTTTATTATTATCTCGCAAATAATGTCATTGCAGCCAATTAACCCATGAGGCCCATGTTAAATTTTCAAAAGTTTAATTGCACGTAGGGAAAAGCCCTGTGGTCCGATTTGTACCATTTTTAGATTTATACCTTCCCTTGGTTGTTTACCATGATTGTGCTTAGGAAGGTGGGGACCAGTTGATACTCCCCTTGGTGCGTCTTTTCAGGACCAGCTTAGCCAGTGGAGTTATACCAACAGCATGGAGGACCTCAAGGGTGGTATTCATACCGAAGCCCGGAAGGGATACATATGCTGTGCCCAAGGCTTTCAGACCAATCAGCCTTACATCGTTTCTCCTGAAGACCATGGAGAAATTAGTGGATAGACGAATAAAGGATAGGGTCTTGGTAAGCCATCCTTTGCATCCGAACCAACATGCCTACCAGAAGGGAAAGTCATGCGAAACAGCCCTGCATGCGCTGGTTAGTAAGATTGAAAGTGCTATCTCGAACAAGGAAATAGCGGTGGCTGCATTTCTTGATATAGAAGGAGCTTTTGACAACACCAGTACTAATTGTATCAAAGCTGGTGTCAAGAAATGTGGAAAGCACTGTAGTGAGGTGGATAGGCAACATGCTCGAAAGTAGGAGAGCGCAAGCTTCTCTGTGTGGGACGGTGAGAGAGGTCAAGGCCCAAAGAGGGTGTCCACAGGGTGGCGTCTTGTCACCAAATCTGTGGAATCTGGTGGTTGACGATCTCCTGTCCGAGCTCAATGCACAGGGCATGTACGCTCAAGGATATGCTGACGATATTGTTGTACTAATAAGAGGAAAATTTATGAACACTTGCCTGGAACTCATGCAGAGGGCATTGTCCATAGTGGAGAGGTGGTGTAACCAGGAAGGTCTGAGGGTCAATCCAATGAAGACTGTAATGGTACCATTTACAAGGAAGAGAAATGTTGATATCGCTAGAGTACCAACTCTCTTCGGTAATCAGATCCAGGTTAAGAGGGAGTTCAAGTACCTAGGAATAAGGCTGGACGACAAGCTCACCTGGAACAGCCATTTGGCACATATAACGCAACGTTCTCAGACCACACTTATGATGATGAGGCGGGCTGTTGGGAAGACCTGGGGTCTAAGTCCACAAATGACTAACTGGCTATACACTAGGGTTGCAAGACCGATGATGGTGTATGGCTCGGTGGTCTGGTGGACCAAGGTAATGCAAACTACCGCTGTAAAGAGACTACAAAAGATCCAGCGAGTGGCATGCCTTAGCATCACAGGAGCCATGAGAGGCACTCCAACTGCAGCCCTGGAAGTAGTGCTAAACCTGCCACCTCTCGACATCATTGTGAAAGGAGAGGCAAGGATGGCAGCCTACAGAATGGCTTGTAGTGGCAACTGGAAGTATAATGCCTCCAGTGAGCACACAAGAGTTGTAGACAAGGTGCAAACGAACTCCTTGGAAATGCTACCAGACAGGATGGTGAAGATCACAGATCTAGAAAAACCATACAATGTCAACATTGTTGACAGGGATGCCTGGGATAAGGGTGAACCTGAATTCATGAAAAGGGGGATCACCTGGTATACGGATGGCTCGAAAAAGCCAACGGGCACGGGGGCTGGAATATATGGAGTCAGACCCAAGGTGCAGTTCTGCGTAAGTTTGGGAAAAATGGCCACTGTATTCCAGGCAGAAGTGGTGGCCCTGTCTGAGTGTGCGAGAGTGTGTTTGAAGCGCGGTCTTATAGGCCACACTATATACATGAACTCAGACAGCAAAGCAGCACTAATGGCACTTGACAGTTTCGACTTTACCTCCAAGGCTGTATGGGACTGTCATCAAGCCATGAAAGCCCTGGGAAAAACCAACAGGATCATCCTTAGTTGGGTTCCAGGGCACAAAGGTATTGCTGGCAATGAGGGAGCTGACAAGTGGGCAAACAAAGGAGCTGAAAGCCCGCTCATGGGTCCAGAGCCGACGTGTGGTATTGCTTACAACACAGCACGGAGAGCTGTTCGCCAGTGGATGGGCATAGAACATCAAAGGAACTGGGAAAGAACAGAAGGAAATGTACAGTCAAAGAGAATGCTGAAGGCACCTACAGGTGCGATGGCGGCAGAAGCCCTTGGGCTGAGTAGTAAGACCCTGCGGAAGGTGGTTGGCTTTATTAGCGGCCACTGGGTATTCCGTGGACATTTACACAAGATGGGAATTCAAGTTGAAAGCCTCTTATGTAGGAAATGTGGAGAGGAGGAGGAGACAGCATTCCACGTGATATTTATGTGCCCAGCCCTACATGGTCTGCGCATGAGATCCCTTGGCCTATCGACTGGAGACCAAAGGGAAGAACGGGTCACCATTGTCAAAAGGATCTCACGGTTCACAAAGGACCTGGGATTTGACAAAGAAAGAGGACCTGTGAATGAGGGTGCACAATAAGCTGTTCTAGCTGCGATGCAATCCCATGGTTACTTGAAGCCTGGCCCTCTATTAGAAAAAAAAAAAAAAAAATGATTGTGCTAAATTTGGTGCTGATCGCTTCAGACTTTCTGGAGGAGTATTTGTAAAACAAAACCAGATGTTGTAATAATTATTAATATTACAGAAAACCGTTGTATAATTACATACATTTCTACATTAGAAAAATAAAGGAGATTATAGTGTATATATTAAACTATTTATTCCCGTATTGTAAGCATTGGGTGATAACATATGTTATGTGGCCTATTTATGTAGAGAACAATACATAATAAAACTCGAAATATGGTCAACTCCAAATAAAATACAAAACATTCCAATTACCTATAATTAATTTCAATCACAATATAATCAAAATAGTGTGTGTTCTATTTTTTTATTTAAGTCTTATAAACGTTAAAACCCTTTCTGTTTAAGGAAAACAGAAGTTGATAACATGTTCAGAGCATATTTTTTATGGGACAAACTAACCATATTACTCTTAAAGATTAAAGGTGTCTCGCCAAAAAAAGGAGCAACATTTTTAACCCATCTAATAGTATTTTTATTGATATAGGTAAACTCAAGTGTAAACTGTTATTATCCATATTTTAAATGTCTTTAAGTTTGTTATAATTATTTGTGTTGTTGGTTAGTTTTGATTTCTGGCGTGGTAGTAAGCTTTCAAAGTATAAAGTGTGTATTACAGTTTATTACACTGATCCCATCTGGTCATTTTCTGAAGAAGATTGACAAGTCGTAAATCTTGTTATTAAGCCTTAGTCTTATAAAAAAACCCTTACCCAATTTACTTCGTCCGAACAACTTTAAATTTTTAGCCTGCGGTTTAACTGAAAAATAAGTAATTCAGAAAATTCGTGATATTGACTAAATGTATACGATAACAACTTTATTACATCTTAAAAAAGAGCAGAATCATTTGATTTTATGATTAGTCTTGGATTCAAACATTGTAAAACATTTATGAAGATTTGTTATTTTTCAAACTAGTGTATACACGAGTATATTAGGCCCACATATTATAACAACTGAGGGATACTTTTGAACTAATGTAACTTGTGTAGTTTGTGTAGTGAATAATTATTGTTGGGATAGAGAAGGCTTTTACTTTAGATTTACAAGAATATATAAAAATCATCGTCTTTAAATAAACAACACAAATAATATTACGTAAAATATTTGTTTAAGCGTATGAAATGTATTTGTTATTGAAACGTAAAACCTTTCAAAGAAATTTGTATGAAAGCAGTCAAAAGCTCTCCCACTAATTGCAGGTTTCACCTTATGATTTCCTTTATGCTTGCCTGAACCTCAAACTACAGCTTATGTTTCCATAAAATGTATGAACAAATTTTCCATTGAAAGAACATTTAATGTCTTCGCCTTTAGTAAAACAACCATACAAATACTCTTGCTACAAATTGTGAAATAAAACTGCATAAGGTTTATTTATTGTGACTAGTGTTGTCTAAAATCCCTATTCAAGCTGATCTAGTTCTGTTTTCAAATTCATAGCGGCATAATTTGTGATGGGCATTTTTCTTGTAATATTTTGTGAACAGAGAAGAGGACATTATGTTTTATTTGCTTTTAAATTTATAAAAGTAGGCTATGAAACTCCTTAAAAACTACTTTTCATTCATTACTTATAGAACTGGACTGGGATTGTCAGTGTTTTTTTTTGTTGGGGGGGGGGGGTGGGTATGGAATAACCTCGACATAATACATTATCCCTTATATTAAAGGATGGTAGCATTATTCACCAGTTTCAACCATTCATGAGGGTAGTGTATTATCAGATATTTGCATTCATACATAAACCAAATAAAATATTTGGAATATATAATAAAATATGTTTTGACTATTCTAGAGAAGAATTGAAAAAGGACTTTCCGCCAATCGACGAGGACGATTTCTTCAACATCTTAACTTGTTTACGAGCCAAGTCTTCCACTAGTTGCCGTCCTACTTCTTACTCTCTTTTGCAAAAGTTAAAAAGTACAATAAGTACAACTAGTGGAAACTAATTTTTTATGCTGTAATAAGAAAATAGTTCTACTGTGGTATAATACTTTTCTGTAAAGTATATGTTTAAAACAGTATTTTTTTCAAAATTTGGAAGTGCCTTTCTTATTAAGAGGTAACTGCATTGCTACATTCATTGAGAGACTGAAAATATGATTGTATGACTGGGTAATCCAACCATTTAACGGCGGGCATAGTCTGTTGCCGCTCAACTAACTTTTCAAGTTCTTTAAGTTTCTATGTTAGGACTTTTTAGCTTTTAAAGCATCGTTCATTTTACTGGTAATGTTTTTAATTTTATCATTGTCATTCATAATAAACGTGGTTTTCACTATCAGATAGATCTTATTACCTTATTACCTCCTCCTTGGCTTGATAACAGCATAAGCTGGATAGGCTGCGACAATATTTACACTTTACATAAAAATAAAACTAATATTTACAGTATATATAGATTTCCATTTAGTCGGATTTTCGTATGGTCATTAGACCAAAAGAACTAAAAAAAAAAATAATGGCTGCTTTAAAAAATTTGATCTGCTTGCAACAAATTGTTTTCCAGCCTGATTTCATCAAGAATGCTTTGTATCTTTCTAATACTTATTTTTTATGACTCTAAGTCCTTACTCATTGCCTCATTGGCCTCAATTACTATATCCTTAAGTTGAGCTTCATTATTTTCATTTATTCATTCATACATTTTTGAAATTTAAACATTCATGCCACCAAGACTGATTGTACGAAATAATATAAATATAACATACCTTTGTCCATTTTCAGTCTTAAAAAATAGTCTGTGGATGACTAGTTTTTGGTCAAAGACCCATTATCAAATTCACATCAAATTGGATAGTCTATAATCCGACGTAGATCTTCATCAAAACGTATATACAATATGATGTGGATGTAATAATAGGTCTTTGACCCGTAACTAGTTACCCCAGACTATTTTTAAAGACTGAAGACGGATAGAGGTATGTAAACTTTATTTTTGGAATTATAAAAAAAAAAAAAACATTTAACGGGGAGGATTCAAACTTTGTTTGTCATTGTTTGTTGATTTAAGGTCATTATTTTCTATCGTAACCTTGTCCATGGTGTGTAAAAGATGTGTAATGCCATAAACTAAAGGAAACGGAGAGAAGAACCTAGTTCCTGCAGACTTCATGTGGAAGACAGCTACACGTGTATGCTTTGATGGTTGCATCTCGTGCGGGGCGGCGCGGCCGGGTGGTAGCGGCCGAACGGGTAGTGTCAGGTTGGTAGTACAAGGGCAGCAAAAGATGCAAGAAATTGAATTCGTAGTCGTATTCACAGTTCTCGCTGATAGATCTATGATTTAATCCCCTAAAGTAAGCACCACCCATGCCGGAGTACTGGGGGAATTCCAAAGTTCTGCACATCTTCGCCTCTTAAAGCTGTAGGCTCCCCAGCCCTTGTAAAAAATCCCGGAAAATAGCTTTACCTGGGTAGCTTGAATGTAGGGGGATTGCAAATATTCAATTTATTCCTGACTGTACAGTTTTCAATGAATCATTTGAATCACTATCATCTTACTTTTTATTTAGTTCACATTTTAGTACAACGGCATTGGTTTGATTTGAGTAACTTATTCATCACATTTTTCGTTATTCTGTCTACTAGTATAATTTATGGCATTTATCTATCGCGTTAATAAAGTGGGGTAGCGCAGCAGAATTTTACCTCCCTAGAATTTTACCCCCCGAACAAAACTGACGTAACAGCCTAGGGGGAAATGCTCCGGCCGTGAACTTGAGAGTTGCACAACCTGAGTTGAATAAATTTAAGGTGGAATTAAACGAATCTTTTCACGGTTGTGAATTTAATCATATCAAATAAAATAAAACCTTGAGTGTGCGGGCCGGAATTTAATCCTCATCATGAATATAGCTCAAAATGTACGGATAGGATTTTTGACCCCTGGAATTTGACCCCGGATTTTTACCCCTCTGACCAGATAGAGATTTAGGTGAGAATAATTATTATGTACACAATAATTATGTATTTTTCTAGAAAGGCGTTTAATCAGTTAACTATTATTTACCACAGTTTTATTCAATGGGGTGGTAGACAAATTAATAAAATTTGTAAATAATATCAAAATAATAATGTAAAAATAATACATACAAACTTAAGTTATCTAACTGTTTCCGTGAAAAATATCACTAAAGCAATTATTGTCAAATCTTTAACAATTTTAAACATACATTGGCAAAGCCTATGCATGTTTATACATCAAAGGTTGTTGAATCTTACTTAATCATTTAATTACCCAATTTAGAACAAATAAATCAACACTAGCACATAGTTGTGCTGGTAAAATGAGAAATTGATTCACTGTATTTGGATCTGCTGCCTGAAATTGTTAAATAAACATTCTTCTTGTTTACATAAAAATGTCGTATTTTAGTATTATTTACCAAATAAATTATTCCTGCCAATTTCTATATCTGGTCTGGGGGTAAAACTCCGGGCGTGAAAATTTGGGGGTTAAAAATCTGGGTGGTACATCTTTAGTTACCTAAAACCTAGTTATATGGGCAGGGAGTAAAATCCCACATTTCATTTCTAATCTGATCTATCACGCTTTGACTATTTTCATTCAACTACCGAATCCGCGGGGGTAAAATTCCGATCGCAAACAAACTTAAACACCT